ATGTAAAATCTCAATTAAATATTCAATAAAGATAGAGGCATGGCCTCACCATTAATATTAAAAAAAAAAAAAAAAACAATTAAACATTGTCAAACTAATGATATTCTTTTGTAAAAACTTAAAAAAATTAAAAAATAAAAAATATAAAAATATTAAGTAATTTGATATACTAAAACAAAAATACTAACTAAATTTACACACTATCTTCTAACTAAGTTAATTAAATACTTTATAACTTATCATGAAAATAGTAATTCTATACAATATAATTATAAAATTATATATGTTTCTGTTTTAATATTCTGTTATTTCACATATATAATTGATTTTTTATATGTTTGTTATATTTTTTACTTATCAAAAAAAAGAAATATATCAACAATGCTAGTCTTTTGAAAAGTAAACCAAATATTTTACTTTTTCTAAAAAAAAAAGATCAAAGAAGAGTTTTGCAAAAAGTCCAAATTTTGAGAAGCATATTTTCAAGCTGCTTTTCATAAAACCAAAATTTTACTAACTCTTAACAAGCTTCAAGCTTTTGTTACCAATAACTTCTTCTGGCTTGAGTGTTGAATGTAAAAAGAAGTCCACTAACAGCCAAGAACATAAAATTATATCTGGATTCGTGGATACAAGTTTTAAGGGTCTATAATCACGTCTCGGATTTTTTGAGTCAACCTTTGGGTCAGCTCTACGCCACACTTAATAAAAAAACAAACCAGGACAGGTTTTGATAGTCAATGGATCAAGAACAACACTTTTATTCATAAAGTTGTCTTTGGTGTAATGGTAAAACGAAACGATAGTGGCGAAAAATTTTCGGTTCAGAAAAATTATACGTAATAAAACTCAATTTGAATAGATTGGCAATACTATCTAAGCCACTAATTTGATAATAGTCTTTGCATTTGTTTGTACGTATTGCATAAAAAGTATATATCAATATTATTTTTTCTAACGTTTCTTATAATAATGCCTGTAGCAACTGGAATTCCGGTTTCTAATACAATCAACAACACTCTTCCTTTTCCTCCACTTACAGAACAACATATTTTAAATTGTGTATTCTCTTCTTGGTATAATACTTTTCGACGTGTCACATTAAAATCAAAGATTATTAAGCCTTTACCCGAAGAATTTATCGAATATTTACATGCAGACGGCATATTTCTTCCTGAACAAAAGTAAATTATTTCTGTTTTTCTATTTTAAACTATAATTTAAGCCAATAATAAAAATGCTATTTTTGTATCCTAGTTTTCTTGAAAGGAATATAACAGAATTCAGTGATGACGACGAAGAATATACCGGAGTTGGAACAGATTTGATTGGAGAAGACGATGACGTAAGCTGTCTTTTATAAAAGGTTTATTCTCTGAATTATTTTTCTTTTTAATCTTGATGCATCTTTTTTCCTTCTAAAACCAGCAACAATTACCAAGCTTTCCTGACTTAGAACAACAGATCTGGCAGACGATCGAGGAATTTGATGGTGCTGTTTTTCCAAAACTTAATTGGAGTTCGCCTAGAGTAATTATCTCAAAATTTCAAAATATATCATGTAAATTGGTTTAACATCTATTTATTAAAATTAAACTTTCAAGGATGCTGTATGGATATCTGCTACGAACACACTTAAATGCAACACACCATCAGACATATTTCTTTTACTTAAATCATCCGATTTTGTAGCTCATGATCTCGATCATGCATTCGAAGATTGTAATTACGAAGAAGAATCTTTAAGAAGACAACGACCCGATGTATTCGAGTTAGTATTAAGAAAATGGTATGATGTAGCTCCATCAATGGAATTTCGTTGTTTTGTAAGAAATGAAGAACTAGTTGGTAAATAACGTCTTATATATATCTAAATCAATTATAGATTATAGCATTGATTTATTTTTAATATTTAAATTAATTTGTTAATTGTATAAAGCTATATCACAGCGCGATGTCAATTATTATCCTTTTTTAGTTGACGTCCAGGAAGATTTAGAAACGAAAATTATACAATTTTTTAATACTAATATCCGAAACAAGTTTTTTAACAGAGATTGTAAGCATACAAACAATTTAATATTTTGATCTTTGATTTTTTTTTTTGGTATACGAAATATTAATAAGTCATCTAATAATTAGATGTTTTTGATGCATATGTAACACGTAATAGAGAACGTGTTTGGTTAATTGATTTCAATCCATTCGGACCAATGACCGATAGCCTTTTATTCACATGGGAAGATATACTGACGGGTAGATTTTAAATAGTTAATACAAAAGTTCAACTCAGATATGACAAAGTAGCTGATTTAACAATTTGTTAAAAAATTTTGCGATTTAGCTGCAGGTCCACCAATATTCCGTATAATAACTTCCCAATCACAGGCTAGTCAGTCACGTAGTCAGCCATTTGCGACCAACAGATTTCCGCGAGAAGTTTTTGATTTTTCGCAAGGTCAAACTGTTGTAGAATTTGCTGAACGATTTCAAAGGGAATTGTTGATTGAAGACGATAGTAGAGTTTAGAACCGGGTTATAATAAATCGAGTCACCCGTGTCAAAACGGTTCAACCGGGTCAAAATTTGGTCAAAACGGTTGAATATGTAATTTTTAAAAACCTGTTACTATTACACAGATAACACATTGTATTGTGAAATAAACACATTTTTTTTCTTACTAATTTATCTAAATGTTCAATCCCGCTAATCTGGATTTAGAAAAAAGCTACAAATCTTCGAAGGCTACCATACGACTATCTATTGCGAAAATTTTGCTAAAAATTTTCCATTGTATATGCCTTCATTATTATTTTCTTTGCTTTGCTAATATGTAATACATTGTGTGTGTTCAACACGTTCGATAGTACCCCGGTAATTCGTAGCGCTGGGGCTCAGGTTATGTAACGTGATTGCGTTGCATGAATTGCGTGATCGTAAATAGCATAAAATTGATTCAGACGTACGTACACGCGTAATAAATTAAAATACACTTTTCCTTTCATAATACCTTCCATTAATAATAGTAAATTATTACGCAATTACGAAATGGTTAGTCTGATTCGGCTCTTCTTATCCGAAACGCATCGGGATTTCAATTAATTAAAGTCCGCCGATATATCATCGATTAAAAGGGTTGAATCAGATTAATAATCATTAATATACTCCCATGGATTTTGTGACTTCTAGCTTATTTGAGCCTAATAGAGAACTATATAAAGGGTCAATAGGAATGGGTCTCTTTTGAATCTTCAGTAGTATCTTCGATAGTACCCTATCGATATACTTCATTGTATCCTCTGTCGCTCATTACATTTGTAAATAACTTAATGCTTACGATCTGAGCTATTTGTGACAGTGTATTGATTTGAGCTCTTCCCATCGTAACAACGTACCGTATAGCGCTGTATATAGTACCCGATTTTTTTAAATAGTGAAGCAATAACGCCGAACTTGAGCACACACTAGGCCATTTCCACAACATTGATACCAGGGAAGAATTGCTAGACATGATGTTACTTGGGGACCCTGTACCCACAGGTAGTCGTGAACACTTTGACAAAAGATCGCAGACTTACACTAGGCAATTCGATGAAGACAAACCGTACGGTTCCGTTTTCCCTAGACACCAGCCTAAAGACAGAGCCACATTTTACTAGTCCGTGGAAAAGAGGATTAATTTCGGTACATCTCAAGTAAATTTGGAAGAATACGATCATTTAGTCAATATATACATGTTTGGCCTTAGGAAAATGAGTGCTTGTTATGTTGCGCGTTTTCTTGTGATGTTTATTAGGTGGAAGTACCTAAACGATACTCCAGTCAAGTATAATAGTCAAGGAAATAAAACGCTAGTAAAAGTCGGATTGCACACATGAAGCTAGGAAAACTTTCGTATCCCAGATCGACCACGTATCCCAATACAGGATAAATTAACAACTTTATTCGACGATAACGATATAAAACCCGCAACTAGTACGACGAAGAGAATACACTAACTGCACCATCGTTCCTTGGCCTTGCACTAAATTGATGTCTAGTCATAAAGTCTCTCCTGGGTTACAACACTATTCACAAGTTTGTATTTATACTATGGTGCGCGACATCTAATCACATCATAACACTGAAATTTGAAATATATATAGATAGTGCTGATTTTAAAATTATACAGTCAAACCTCTCTATAATCACACCTTTGGTTTCAAGAATTTGGTGCTTTTAGAGAGTTTGTGCCTATATGAAAGTTAAATTTTATAAGTGTTATATAAGTTGGTTTTAAAAATTTGTGTGATTATAAGTTAATGTGATTATAAAAAAAGTGACTATAGAAGGTCTAACTGTATATAAATAGCACTAAATTTTAGAAATTATATTATAATTTAATAGTGTTAAAGTATTTTTTTTTTTTTTCAGTATTAAAATGATTTCTTTGATTTTGATTTTTTATTAATTTTTTTTTTTTTTAAATATTAAGGTAAATACTTGTAACTCAGGATTTTATTAATAGTATATTTGGTTAATGGTTGTATTACAATTACAGAAAGCAATCATAAAAAGAGTATACAACTAGTTACTTATACAACTTTAGTCATTATTTAATTTAAGTAGTTTGCTCAAAGGTTTTACATTAGTTGTCATATTTAAAACCTGTTTGTAGATTTTCTATTTAACCATTCTAGTTTCTATATCTATTTACTTTCTTCTGTTTATCAATGATTTTGGTCGATGTTGGTGAAAATATGTTATAGTTACTAAATATTTAAAGCAGTTTTTTGAAACTTTTAATTTGTGTTAAACCTTTTAGAATCTTTTGTATTATATTCTTATAACTGACTTGATATTATTATAATTGAGATTAATATTAATAGTCAGAATATATAATTAAATTGTTATGTCCTTATAGAGTTTATTTTAATCTTAATACTGACTTTACAACATATCCTTATTACTTTAGTATTTAATTCAAGTTTTATTAAGTTGTTATTTCAAATAGTCTAGAAAAGTAGGTTATAATCATATTTCTGGTTTACATATTTGATAATATATATTTTTTTTTCTGAAATCCAGAAATTCTAACAGTTTAGTTGGTTCATTCAATTTTTTTTCAAAAACTAGCATATTTGTCTGGTTTTATAAATTTTAGTTCTGTTTCATAGATCTAGTCTTTATCATAATTATCAAAGATTTGGGTTATCTCTTTACTTAGATCTTTTAAGTAGGTTTCTGTCTTTTTATCTGGTTTCTGTAATTTACATAGTCTAAAAACTTATTTTGAATTTACACTATTTGGTACCAGTTTGTGTTCCTTTATACAATATTGTATAAGTGTCTAAACCTTTCAGTCATATTGATATAATATATATTACAAGTATTTAATTCCAACTAATTATAGAAGATAGTTAACCATAATATAGAAAAAATTACAAATTTTCATTATTATTAGAATTTGAACTCTAGACCTGCCACTTGAAGATTAACAATCTATCTATTTCATTAGATCACTACACCTTTTGGATTTTTTATTAATACTTATATTGGATATATGTTTTATATAGACATATTCATATTGAATTATTAGATGAGTATATAACTGGTTATATGTATAACTTTTCTATATTACCTATTTAAGAAGTCTGTTTGAAGGTTTCTTACTAGTTGTCATATCTAATACTCTTGTTTAGATATTTTATTTAAATCTTTTGATCTAATTTTGATATTAATTTCACTAAGTTACAAACTCAGATTTTTTTGTTTTTAATTATAGAACTACAATCTTTAGACTATTTTTATCTTTAAGATAAACTTACCAAAATGAGTTATATTTTCTTTTTATTATTAATCTAGTTTAACTCTATTTTAAGACCAATACTTATAATCAGAGTTATTTATTAAATTACTATTACTCTTGTAAAGTTCATTCAAATCCTAGTATTTATCTTTTTAAACATTTTCTTTATTATTTCTTACTAACTGTTATTCAGAACTGATAGAACTTTCTAGACTAACAATCCAGATAGTCTAGTATGATATACTTATGTATTTTTTTTCTTTAGCAATTCTGATGATCTGATTAATACATATACTTTTCTTATATATTTATTGTTCAGTTTATTCAACAATTCTTTTAAGAATATTTTATAGATTTTTATTAGATCAATAATATTATCAAAAGTTTGTACTATTTTTTTATTCAAAATTTCTAAATAGATTTCTATCTTCTTTGTTTCTTAGTTTTCTATGCCTAGTAGTCTTATTATGTGTTTGCACTGAAGCCTTATACAACATCAGTTTTTCACATTTCTCTATATATATATAATATTATACTTTATATTGATATCTTAAGTTTTCAAAATTAGGTAAACTCTGATCTGGTATTTCTAAGATTACAGATATATAAATTCAATCAATCAACAAGAGACAGTTACCATAATATAAATATAATTTTCAAAATTCATTATCTATAGGAAATGAATCTTAGTCCTATTACTTAAAGATTAACAACCTATCTATTTCACTAGATTATTACATTTTGTTTAAAATTTAAAGTATATAAAAACATATATATATTTATATATTAATTAATTTATTAAATTAAAATTGAGAGATATAGTAATCTAGTAAAATAGTCAGATTGTTAATCTCCCAAATAGTAGATTAGATGTTTAAATTCTATTAATAACAAAAATTTAAATAATTATCTATATAATATTTATATTATGATAACTATTATTAACAATTGGGTTAGGATATTTGTAATAGTAATTGTACTAACATAATTGGCAGATCATAAAGTATTTGTATAACTAATTATACAAAGAAATACAAACTGACAAATTGAATATTGCAAATATTAGATAAGTTCTTATAATTATATAAATCTGTTGAAATTGAATAATAATAAATTCATTTAAGAAAACTTAAATAGAAAAGTAGTCAAATCTTTAATAGTCTTATTATAAAGATTAGTTTAAAGATAGAATATAATATTAATCATTTCTATATATAATTAGTTGCAAATTTTTATTATTTTTTTTTATATTTAATTTTTTGAAAAATATATTAAGTAAATAAATTTTAATCCTTATATAAAAGTTATAAAATAAGTCTTTCTAATTCTAATAATAGTAAACTTATTAAAATTGGATAAAAACTCATTAAGATATAAGTTTTTAAATATTAGATTATAAAACTATATAATAAAATTAACTTATAGATTTACATAAATTAACCAATTAAATTATCTAATTTTGTACTATCTAAGCAAATTTTAATTAACTTAAACAAACTTTATTATATATACAAATATATTTTTTTAAAATAATAAAATAGTTCAAAATTTTACTATAATAGATAAATAATTTTATTTATAATATTATAAAATTTTTTTATTAATTAATTAAAAAATAAAAAAGTTTTATTAATAATATATTTTGTAGTTACTATATAAAATTTTTTTGCAATTAATTATATATAGAAATGATCTACATTGCATTCTATTTTTAAGAAAATGAATACTAAAATCATAATATCTAATCATAATACTCAGATAGATAAGAACTTTTAGGTTGAGAGTTTCAAAGATATTATTAACCAAACTGTTATATAGAAAGAATCAAAAAAAAACAATATTAGATTAACTTGATATATTGATAGATTAAATATAGTCCTATATAAGTTATCTGAATTGAAAGTTTGGAAAAAAACAAATAAAAAAATAGAAATATAGTAAAGTACTAAGGTTATATTATAAAAAGATGTTGAGGTCTGTGTGAACTTTATAAAAATATAATAGTTAAATAATATAACTCTAATTACAAATATTAGTTCTGTTATAATAATATTTAGGTTAACTGTAAAAATAGATACAAAAAATTCTAAAGGGTTCATCTCAAAAATAAAATAATTCTAAAGTTAAGACAATAATCTGAGCATCTGAATATAACTCAGTAATCTTAATACAGGTTATAGATTTAGAGAGTTTAAAGTAAAAAACTCAAGTAAGAATATTAAATATAATAATTAGTAAGAAACCTTCAGGCAGACTTCTTAAATAAGTAATATAGAAAAGTTATACATATAGTCAATTGTATGTTCTCTTGTAATAATTCATAGAATCATATTACCAAAAAACTGTTAATAAAAATCAAAAGACCAAAGAGGTTATTTTAATACTAAAAAAAAAAAAAAATAAAATTGATTTATTAAATTTATATAGAAGTTATTAATGTTTTTAATAATCATTTAAATTAAATTAGTATTAAAACAGTTTGAAGAATTAAATTTTTAAATAAATAATATTTTTGATTTTGCATTAATATAAAAAGCAAATAGTTATTTATAAATTAAAAATATATAAAAAAACTAAGATGCAAATAATTTTTTTAATAGTTTGTATTAAGATCAAGTTTTTTTTTGAATAGATTTTTCAATATATTTAGTATCTAAATCAAAAGAATATTTTGAAAACAATAAAGAAATTTTAGTTAAAGATTATAAAAAACTTAAAAACAAAACAAATAACTAAAATATTCTTTTTGATTTGATTTTTATCTCTTAATCTATAGAGCAGGCAAATTTGCTCATTAACTTATTTAATATTTTTTACAATTAGATAAAAATTTTAAATATTGATTTTAATAATATATTTAGTAATTAAAAA